GCTCTCTAGTGTAGGGAGAAGCAGGGCATTTCTATATGCACTTCCTGGAGTGGAAAGGACTCTCTATGTCTCTCTCTCCATGTTCCTCATCTGCCAATTCCTCCAAGGCAAGGTTCTTATGGGAACTCTTCTGGAGCTGGAACCCCCCTCATTATATTAATAATGGGTACAAGGATGGCTTCAATTAGGTTCCTCTAACAGGATTTAGGTTTCGCTCACAGGATGGGTTATTAAGGACAGAGAAAGATCAATTAGCATTCGACAGGCAATTCAAAAATGTAGCACCCCCAGGAAATAATCGAAAATTAACTCCACATCTTCTTAGGTTTTTTTAAAATGTATTTTTATTAAAGATTTTCTTGGTTTACAAAAGTATGCGCAATGTCTCTTTTTCCAAGTTACGTTTTCTCCAGATCAGTTTCATTTGTTGAGACATTAGTGTTACATTAGGAAGAAAAGGGGGAAAGAGGTGGAGGGTGCATGATGAGTGAGGGTGGGGTTGGGTGGTGATGTTTCTATTCTACTTAATGTATGTGTGGGGTTTTGTGTCAGCATCGCTTGTGCAGGTTCTCTTTGCTATTCGCTTGTGTTCCTTTGGTAGTGAGAGAGGTTAGCAAGGTATATTTACACATCAAAGACACCACATATATGATCTGGTCAGCTTGCCCTTTTGGACTCCAGGGATCCAAGTGGGATTTACGTCCATTTTATGGTATCAAAAATGGGCTGAGAAAGGGATTCCCCACTCCTACTAAGTTTGTATGCTCAGAATTGTCACCCTAATGTTGTTTGGACTCATCTCTCTAAAGAAAATGCTCCAGAAACAAGGCAGGGACGTTTCTTCTTAGTGCTAACATTATAAATACCTATCCAAAAGCAAATTCAAGTTTTTCGCACAGAAAGAAAATTTCCAGTTTCCTGTGTGTTGCAAACCTGCCTTGCCGTTCTCAGCAATTTACTAGGGTTTAGAGGAGACACTCTGTAGCTATTTTTCTCATTATTGATCTAGAGTTTATAAAACAAGATTCATAAATCCTATTTAATCTTCTGAGTCAGTGTGCTTGAATGGGAACTACTGCCTATGACTGGGATCAAACACCCTCACAGCACCATGTTGCATAAGTAGAGGAGAGGGGCAAATATTTCTTTTTCGTGTCGGCCTCAGCAGTCTCATGGACTCCAGGGGCCTCCCAATGTTGGGGTGGACCATGTGTGAGCAGAATAACTGGTGCTTTGGATCCCATTGATTCATATTTTTATTAGATTAGCCTTGCAGTTTGATCCAGAGGAGAGGAAGAAGACAGTCAGCACGGGTTCCATCATACCAGTGCTGAATCTCATAGCAGAAGACATGCGACAGGTCCCCAGTTCAAGTAAGGCTAAGAATTACTCCTCTCTGAAAACCTGGAGACTGGCTGTTTAGCCAGTATGGACTAGTCGAGGTAAATGGTCCAGTGATTGGACTTTGTACAAGACAGCCTTGGTCCTGTATACCTGAAGGAGCGTCTCCACCCCCATCGTTCAGCCCGGACACTGAGATCCAGCGCCGAGGGCCTTCTGGCGGTTCCCTCATTGCGAGAAGTGAGGTTACAGGGAACCAGACAGAGGGCCTTCTCAGTAGTGGTGCCTGTCCTGTGGAACGCCCTCCCATCAGATGTGAAGGAAATAAGTAGCTATCTTATCTTTAAAAGACATCTGAAAGCAGCCCTGTTTAGGGAAGTTCTTAATATTTAATGCTGTATTGTTTTTAACACTCGATTGGAAACCGCCCAGAGTGGCTGGGGAAACTCAGCCAGATGGGCGGGGTATAAATAAATAAATTAATAATAATAATAATAATAATAATAATAATAATAATGCTCCTGTGCGACATGGATGAGGGAGAATGTGTGACCCTCTGCTCTGGGCCACAATTGTTGCTTGCACAGGAGAGGGAATTCATTAAACTGGGTCCGCCATCTGAAGAACTTAAAGAAGCTCCACTCCACTACCATTTTGTAAAAGGAAGGCTCAATTAAATGGAATCTAATTAATACCTCACACGCTGGACCACGTCCAGAGCTCTGTGGTGACTTTTGTTGTTCACCCAGGATTTCCATGCCAGCAGAGTTCCCCATTCAGATCAATGGAAGGGACAGTGCCAAAGGATGCCTACAGAAAGATGTTACTTCCTTTGTGCATTGAGGAACTCAGAGTTGTATCCAATTCTTCTGGCAGTTTCCTCACTGAGAGAAGTGAGGTTACAGGGAATTAGGCAGATGACCTTCTTGGTGGTGGCACCTGCCCTGTGGAACACCCTCCCATAAGGAAAGAAACAGCTATCTGAATTTTAGAAGACATCTGAAAGCAGCCCTGTTTAGGGAAGTTTTTAATGTTTGATGTTTTATCGTGTTTTTAAAATTCTGTTGGGAGCCACCCAGAGTGCCTGGGGAAACCCAGCCAGATGGGTGGGGTATGTATGTATGTATGATGTATGTATGTATAATAAAGTTCCATTCAGAGTAGATTCATTGAAACTACTGGATATGAACAACTTAGATCCATTAATTTTAATAAGTCTTTTTTGAGCTGAACTCAGTTGGCTACCACCCTTGACATGCAGAAAGGGGCTGCTCGATCAGGTCGGTTTTCTTGTCTGCTATGGAGATTTAATAGTGATATTGAATATCACTTACTTTATGAATCATTTTCTATTATGCTTCAGGTGTCTGTTGTGCTCTAAACCACTGAGCCTCTTCAGCTTGCCGATTGAAAGGTCGGCGGTTCGAGTCCCCGCAACGGAGTGAGCTCCCATTGCTCTGTCGCAGCTCCTGCCAACCTAGCAGTTTGAAAGCACACCAGTGCAAGTAGATAAATAGGTAAACAGGATTTCCATGCGCTCTGATTTCCGTCACGGTGTCCCGTTGTGCCAGAAGCGGTTTAGTCATGCTGGCCACATGACCCAGAAAGCTGTCTGTGGACAAACACCGCCTCCCTCGGCCTGAAAGCGAGATGAACGCCGCAACCCCATAGTCGCCTTTGACTGGACTTAACTGTCCAGGGGTCCTTTACCTTTACCTTTTTACCTGAGAAGCTGCCACATGTGGCCAGAATGAAACAGAAACATTACATTGTATATAGTGGGGTTTTAAGGCCATTGTTTATGATACGTTTTCAGCATGACACTCGCTACCTACAGTTGTCACCCAAATAAAACCATATGCTTTGATGTTAAGATGATACTGTTGCACAACTTAATTAACTAAAACATCTTGTACTGTGCCAACAGGCTGCCAGCTAGCATCCGGTAACGATGATTCGTTATTTTATTAGCTGCTTACTCATATCTGAAAACTCAGAAACCAAACGACAATATGGCATTCCTCCCCTCTCTGCCCGGCACTGATGCAAATTTTAACTGCGTATTTTACAAGCACGCTTTTGGTGATGAGTTGTTGACAAGCTAACAAGAGCCTGACAGCCAACTACATGAGCCTGGGAAATGCTCTGCCCTAATATTGCCTATACTGTACGGATTTTAAAATGACTTCGGTTCAGTTCACTTTGCAGTCCAAGTGAAGAGGTTGCAGGAGACCTGTGGGGGGGGGGAGTAACCTATGGTGTAAAAATGGGAGGTGATGTCACAAATCATATGCATAACATACAGCTTTGGGCAGCTCAAGCCAATCAATATGACCCCCCTAATAATAATAATAATATTAATAATAATAATAATAATAGAAATAATCAAGTCGTTGAAGTCTGGATCTAATAAACCTAGCTAATGAATGAATATCATCACCTGTTTCCACAAGAGAAAACCCCATCAGAGTGGGGAACTATGTGAATGTAAGCTACTGGATGCAGCACAGCCTGGATAGCTCAGTTGGCTAGAGCGTGGTGCTGACAACACCAAGCTTGCAGGTTCGATCCCTGTATGGGATAGCTGCATTGCCGGGGGTTGGACTAGATGATCCTCAGGGTCCCTTCCAACTCTACAATTATATGATTCTATGGATAAATCTGACAAATTGCCACTGTCTAAAGACCCTAATTCACAAAACTGTGAAACCCAGGTCTACTGAGCAGGCTCCCTAACGCAGCGGAATGACTTTCAATGGCATCTCAAAATATGCAAATAGGCCAAGGAAAAGCCCTTGCTGCAAAAAATCCTTGAGCAACGATGCCTGTGTGGTGCTCCTGTGGCAAGGAGGAGCCTGTGTTTCTGTCTCTCTTTGACTGTGTCCTGCAGCCACAATGGACTGGTTCACAGCACCAGCTAAGGCAAAGCGTGGCATGGTGAGACCATGCAAACAAGGAGCTTGCAGATGCCTGGCTTCTCTATGGTCCTTTCTGCAGCTGTGCAGAACAGTTGCAGCTTAGCGTGTTGTTTGGCTAAGCTCTCCCCTCACTAACCAGAAGCTGGAGTTCAGCAAGAGAAGAGAGCTTAACAAGAAGTCCAGGTTCAGATGTCACACTAAGCCAAACTCTGGGAAAAGCAAAGTACCGTATTTTTCGCTCCATAAGACACACCTAGTTTTTAGAGGGGAAAACAAGAAAAAACTATTCTGAATGAAACAGTGGATGTATGATTTTTGTGGTTCATGCTGTGGCCACAGACATGTGATCTGATGGTGAATTTGGGGTGACCCAATGCAAAAATCCTGAGGATCCATGTGGATCCATGCTTTGTAACCACGTTTTTGTGCCATTGTGGCCCCCACACAACAGTGGGTGCGTGACTTTTTTTTGGTGCAGGCTGTAGTCATGGACATGCTATGTGATCTGATGGTGAATTTGGGGTGACCCAATGGGCAATTCGGCTCCAGGGACCACGCATTCGCTCCATAAGACGCACAGACATTTCCCCTTACTTTTTAGGAGGAAAAAGGTGCGTCTTATGGAGCGAAAAATTCAGTAACTACAAACTCCTCTCTGGGAGTCATAGAATCACAGAATTGTAGAGATGGAATGGACCACAAGTGTCATCTCTTCCAACGCTGTGCAATGCAGGAAACTTTTGCTCAACCTGGGGCTCGAACCCACGAGCCTGAGCTTAAGAGTCTCCTGCTCTACCAACTGAGCTATTCCCCTGTCTGTGTAATCTCACTAAGTGAAGGTCTGTCTGTAGGAATGATAGCATGACAAAGCACTTCCTTTTCAAAAGAAGCTGTAGCACAGGCCCACATGACAGAGTTTGCAAAAAATACTCTCATGGGCCGATCGATGGCTATGGGCATGAATTTGTACTGTATTTGACTTTAATGGTTCTCACATGGCAGGAAACTGACATTGCAAACAATCACCTTATCCATTCTGGGCTTTCCTGTGATTCTGAGTCTGTTTTGAGTCAAGGGTCTCTGGGCATTGTTCAAGCAGAATCTCTCCCACGTCACCCCACAACCCATACCTGTCCTGTCATTTCTTATGGCGTACTGCATTTTGATGCCTTTCCCTGCAAAATCAGTGTCCATCTGAACTGAGCAACCTAACTGATGCATAAGCTACCTAAATAACAAAATAAAGGAGCAGCTGGGGTCTGAAGAGCAGGTTTAGACTCAGTCCCAGTTGTGTTCTTCTTCTGAGTACATTCCTTTTGCATGAATGGAAGTCTGCAGCTCATCCGTTTTGGGGGGCGGTGGCGGTGAGGAGAGTAAAAATGTGTTTTTGAGGTCATCACTGTGAGAAGCACGAAGTATGCCATCCCTGACAGTGGGTGGCCTGAACCCCGCTTGACACACCTTTGTCATAATAATTGGCCTTTTGGATACTTTGATTCAATGCTGGGAGAAATTCTGATTTTATTCACCTTGGTAGCATTTTGTTTTCTGTCAACGCAGGGGTACAAAGGCATTCGTTTAGCCATTAGAAAAGTGAACGTTTTCTGCTGAACATTTAGAAATTTAATATTTTTAATCACTGTTAAAGCCAAGAGATCCTGCTACTGCTGTTGCCTCCACTCCCCCTTTCCAGCGCAGTTCAAGTTGTGTTCATTGCAACTTGAGAGCAGAGCCCGAGGGGGTCAAAGCCAGTGAGAAAATGCTTATGGATTGGTCCAATCCTGTGGAAGCCAATCAGAGTTCTCATGTGCTCCCGTGGCTTAATTGGTTCATCCTCTTTAACAGAGGATCCATTCAGGGCCTGGCATTGTAAGGCTGTTTTTCAGCTCCAGTTGAACAGCCTTGTTATTGACTGCATGCAAATTCATCCGAAACAAAAAGCCGCTCATACAGAAGATGTATTCCAGCTCTTTTGGAGCACATCCATTCTTTTAAAGTGTGCTGGATGGCTGTTCCTGCGAGACCCATAACAATTAATGGAGGAAACTGATCCAGCAGGCACAGATAATATCCTTAAAATAATAGGTTTAATTGGTCCTTTTAGGGCTGTTACTGGGAAGCCAGGAAGCATCTTAGCAGGTCTTTGCAGATCTCATTAGATCAGATCTCCCCATTCCCACAAGAAGAGAGAGAGAGAGTGCAAGGAAATGATGTCTCAGCAGTCTGTTAACAGTCATTTAGTGAGGCTAAGTTCATCTAAGAAAGAATGAAAGAAAGAAAGAGGGAAAGAGAGAGAGAGAGAGAGAGAGAGAGAGAGAGAGAGAGAGTTATATGAAAAACCTGTCCTCCAATTTCTTAAAAGTGTTCTTCCCTTCCAAAAGAAGCATCTCTTTTATTTGCTCATCTGCTCCAACACCAGTCCACAGAAACAGAATAACAGATAGCTAACTAGATATGGCACAGTGAGGATCAAAGCAGGTGTGTTATGAGGCCTTCGTAACTAGAATACCCTTGTTTTTTAAATTAATTAGAAGCAGCAGTTCCCACCTCCACAATTTTGATCACAGTCCTGCTGTGGGTCTAACTCCTTGCCCCCATGCTATAGACCTCCCAATCCAAATCCCACCCCCCAATAGCTACAGAAGGCTCCAGTCCAAATCTCTGCTGAAGCCATCGTTATTAGTAGTGGAGGGGGAAATGTCTCTCAATGACTAACTGCTTGGGGAGGGGTAGGAAAGTGTTTCCACTCACCTAAACAATGCATCTCTGAAACGCAGGGAACTAGAGATCTATTGTCAAGGCAGTCAGTTGCCTTTTGACTACAAGAAGCAGCCAAAAATTCCACTTTACCAGCTCCTTAGATCCCAGCCACCATCTTTTTTCCCGTACCTAAAACTCCTTCGTCTGAATCATCATATTCTTCAGCATGTATCCAAGCTCTGAGAAATATGGTCAGAGAAATTAAGATAAGACTGATGAGCTTTGGCACATTGAACCGAAGAAAGTCTTTATCTCTCTGCTGAAAAGCACAGTAGATGCCATTTTGTTCCAGAGTACAGTGAGCGCTTTCAAAGAAAACAAAGAAAAGCAGAGGAATGCAACATTGTTCTTAGAAACACAAAGGTTTCAAACTGCAATTTATTTATTTTCTGAAAAAAGCCAATCTCCCAAGCATAATGTCATGAATTGTTTTCTTGTTGTCATTGAAGTCATTTGCATCTTATAAACGGCCATAATCTCTCCCCACAGAAGGGTAAGTTATCGGTAGCACCCAGGGAAAAGGAAATCTCATTCCCAACTCCTTGTTTTATCATCTGTATTTTTTCTGACCTTGTCCAAGATACAGTGTGCTGGAAACCGAATGCCTGCAGCATCAACACTTTCTCACGCATTGAATAAAATCATTTTCCCTACCAAGGAGACAAGGAGAAAAATGTGTCTTCTGTCCTTGTAATGTTTGTTGAGCTCATTGGGGTTTGGGCACAATTCAGCAAAAGCTCAGATCCAGTTCTTCTTTGCCTCATTTTTTGGGAGCAAGCCCATGGAGTAAACATGCACATGTTTAGACTGAAACCTTCAAGTCCCCTGGAAAGGCATGCAACGGCACATCCTAAGTTTTCTTGGTTGTCCTTCTGTTTTACATGGTAGCCTGTGGTACAGAGTTGTAGCTGTTGAATTCACTTCAAAGCCCACGTCTAGACCCTGACTGATGATAGGTCAAAAAAAGACTCAGAACTTTAATAATTTGTAAGGCGAACCAGATACTTTATATCCCTGCCCAATCGCTGAGATTTTCAGGGAAGTCAGTGTTAGGGGTCTTCTGTGGATCAGATGCATTGCATCTGTACCCACTAGGAGCCATGTACTCAGTACTGCGGGTCCAACTCTGTAGCTGTTCCTCCTGCTTCAGAACAGACAGATCCCTTTCTTTTTGAACTTCCAGTGTCTAGTGAATGAATACCTTTTTATTTCAATAGGCATTTTAAGTGAGTCCCCCCCCCCCCACAATCAGATTTTGAAGGAATGATCGCCGGGTGTGGAGCACACTTCCACCTGTAGACAAAGCCACAGCTGTCTGAACATCATGCCCTCTATCTAACCTTTGCTCTCTTAGTGGTCTGTCATGACCTTTGTCTCCTTCGTCATACATTGTTCAAGGGGAAAATGATGTGGTGGAAACAGGTGCCCAAATAACTTTGTACCACCCCACAATCTCAGGATTGGAAGATGCGTAAAGGTCACAGCCCAAAGTGTATCTGACTGGTTTTGCATATTGTGCTAATAAAAAGAGCTTCGGCAGAGCTAGCTGGCAGCTTGCTTGCTTGCCTGTGCACAGCTCACCTGCATTCAACCTCCCGCCGTCCTCCGTTATTCCTACAGCTTTTTCATAAAACAAGAAAATACACTAATCAAAATAAAAAGAGAAAGAGAAAAGAAAAGGCAGAGTCCTCTCTCAAATGTAGCTCCAAAGCCTTGTCTCCCACAGAAAGAGGTGAACCCTCTCAGCTCCATTTCGGATATTTCCTTTCTTCTCCCAGCCTCTCAACCTCAGAGATATTCCCATTCCTGTCTCTCGTTCAGGGTCTTTCACCAACTATGCATCACCTTCAAGTGTGTGTAACCCTTGGACCCCAATAATCACCCAGAGCAGAGCACACCAAGGAAAACAAAGGAGGTAGGGGAGAGGAAATAGAAGAAGAAGAAGAAGAAGAAGAAGAAGAAGAAGAAGAAGAAGAAGAAGAAGAAGAAAAAGAAAAAGAAAGAAATGAGAGATAAAAAGGACTTCTGATTTTCCACCCGTCAGTTACATAAAAGGAATGATTGAAAACATTCACTCTAGGATGACGTCCAACTTTTCTACTTTCTGTTGAGATTTTTAAAAGGGTTACTAATAACTGATTTCATGATATATGCTACCGTATTTTTTGCTCTATAAGACTCACTTTTTCCCTCCTAAAAAGTAAGGGGAACTGTGTGTGCGTCTTATGGAGCGAATGCAGGCTGCGCAGCTATCCCAGAAGCCATAACAGCAAGAGGGATTTCTGCTTTCACTGCGCAGCAATCCCTCTTGCTGTTCTGGCTTCTGAGATTCAGAATATTTTTTTTCTTGTTTTCCTCCTCCAAAAACTAGGTGCGTCTTGTGGTCTGGTGTGTCTTACAGATCAAAAAATACGGTATATCTCTGCTGTATACTGCTTGGAAACAATATTAGTTTATCGCATCAAAGTACACAATAGTATAATAAAATGAGATAGATAAAGTGCACCACAGTCTGCCTTTAGAATAAAAGTGCAAAAGACATCCGTCATGCAGAGTGAATGATACCCAAATATAGGGGGTAATATACAAGCCCTTGAAGCAAAAGCAAAAATAAGCACCAGAACAGCCCAAATAACTTATCTTTGCACAAATTGTCATAAACTTGCTGTTGTTATAAACATGCCAGCTTATCATATCAACTTCCAGTTACATGCAAATGGTACACACACATTTAGCAGCAAATCTTAACCCAATAGCAATTAAGATATTTGTTGAGGTCACTCACATATTAGCAACTTGATATACACCAGTAAGTCTATGTGATATCAATGATCAAAGAATCACGTAAACGTTAGGAATAGCAAATCCCTGAGTCAACAGGATGAAACACACACACACACACACACACACACACACACACCTGTTGCATGTGCATTTTAGGAGTGTTGGGTTCATTTCTTCTTGCCCCTGCCTCAAACAGGTGATCTGAGCTACACAAGGCAAACCACATGCAGTCCCATATCTGGCTTCAGCCTTTTGCAGTAATGAGA